GCGCATCTGAACTGCCATGCGCACCACGGCGTCATCTACTGAAATTGACCCACATGAATGGCTCCTAGGGCCAAGACTCAAGAGACCCACAACCAAGAACTCAGTGCGCTGCAAAAATATATATTATTCCGGGGGCCAAAACAGAAACTAGAATCGATGGGGTTCGCCTTTTAATCATTTCTTTCTCTTTCTCGTTCTCTGTTGCAGTCTAGATAATAATAAAGAAACAGAATAAACAAAGCAAGAGCTAATTAAACACAAAGAAAGAAAAGAAAGTATTAATGGAGAGGCAATGGAGGCTTTGCTTTGCATCTCCTCCGCCCACTTATTAAGTCCGTTTACTAATTAAACCAGAACAAATCTTATCGAATATTTCAGCGACGGGAACGTTGAAAATTACAGTGAACACAAACACCATCTGAAGAGTATAAGAATCAGTTGGACCAGAAAGCAAAAGCCTAAAGCTTGTTGTGTCTTCAATCTTTCCTTTTCTTCCCTATTGTAGTACAATTTTACCATATGTTCTTACAGTATGCAAACCTTCTCAAAGCCCATAAGTTTCTCTCTCTCTCTCTGCTCTTTGTTTTCAATTATTCTTGGATGCTAACTGAAAGTCAAAAAGAATGAGAAGAGTCATCCAACGGTGAGAGAATCATAATCTAGAGAGAAGAAGAAAGAGATCTCCAAGGAAATCTTTTCTGAAAGCTAGTTGATACAGAGAGAGATTAGTGTACAGCCCAACAAGGTTGGTTCACATTATTATATATATGTAGAGAGAGAGAGAGACTTATAGTAATGTAGTTTAGTTTATAAAAATGTCTTAGTGTGTGTAAGAGAGAGAGAGAGAGTAATTAATAAAGTAGGAAGAAAAGAAGAGGAGTGTGGGACCCCACACCATGGAAATAGACTAGGAGAGAGAGAGGCCTACATCATGGAGGGGTTAATGCACACACAAGGGGACATCCTCGTCTCATCTCGTACTGATAAGTATATATGTATGGGTCGCCCAGTTCACCTTGGGAAGCCACAGCAGGCAACAACCCAAAGCCAGTAACATAATTAGGAGCCTTTTTAACTTCTCCTCCATCAGTTTTGCTTTGGCCTTGCCCCTTCCTGACCAGGCCTCCATGCCGGAAAATCAGCAACAGTCGGCTTCATCGAATATGTCTGATCAACAGCAAACTAACAACACCACTGTCGTTGCTTACCCTGTGCACCCCAATAATCCTCGATCTGTTCTACGACTGGCCTTGTTCCCCATAACTCTGAAGGTCTCTTCTTTCTTCTATCAAGTTATCATCACTGTCATTTCCTCTGTCCTTTCTTCTTACACAATACACATGCCCACATATCTATATATACTATCACCCTCTCTCTCTCTCTCTCTCTCTCTCTCATAAATATATATATATATATATATATATTAAATATATGGTATATATTTAAAAGAGCTTTTTGTATTTGATGTTAGTAGTTTGGTGTATTTGGTTTATTGCAGTTTGAAGAAGTGGTATACAAAGTAAAATTGGAGCAGAAAGAATCCTGCTGTTGGGGTGGCAAATGGAGCAGCAGAGAGAAGACTATATTGAATGGGATAACAGGGATGGTCTGCCCGGGAGAGATCCTGGCGATGCTGGGGCCGTCGGGCAGCGGCAAGACGACCCTCCTGACAGCTCTTGGTGGGAGGTTGAATGGAAAGCTGTCTGGGAAGATTACATACAATGGGCAGCCCTTCTCTGGTGTCATTAAGCGAAGGACAGGATTTGTGGCACAGGACGACGTGCTCTACCCACATCTCACCGTGACTGAGACCTTGGTTTTCACTGCACTACTAAGGTTGCCCAACACCCTAACTCGGGATGAGAAAGCCCAGCACGCCGAGCATGTAATCGTTGAGCTGGGGCTGACCCGGTGCAGGAATAGCATGATAGGAGGTCCTCTCTTTAGAGGGATATCAGGTGGCGAGAAGAAGAGAGTCAGCATAGGCCAAGAAATGCTTATCAACCCAAGTCTTCTCCTGCTGGATGAACCCACCTCGGGTTTGGACTCCACCACTGCTCAGCGCATCCTGACCACTGTCAAACGCCTCGCCAGTGGGGGCCGAACCGTTGTCACCACCATTCACCAGCCATCCAGCCGACTGTACCACATGTTTGACAAGGTGGTCTTGCTCTCTGAGGGCTGCCCCATCTACCATGGCCCAGCGTCAGCTGCACTGGATTACTTCTCTAGTATTGGGTTCTCAACGTCCGTCACCGTCAACCCTGCTGATGTTTTACTTGATCTTGCCAACGGTATGTGATTTCCTCCTCAGCTAATCTGCTGTGATCTCTCATTTTGATTGATTAAAATAAAAAACTTAGTGACAATTCTGGATATCTTTTAAAAACAAGCGGCCACATGAGGGAGAGGGGAATGCAGGGAGCTTTCTTTCCCTTTATTTGGTTTGGTTAGTTTATTGCATTGGAGATGGAGAGATCGGTCGGCAGGGCCTACCGAGTATAAGTGGTGATTATTATTGTACCTTATACAATGATAAAAGAAAGAAATGGAGTATGATGAGAGAACCCACAACAGCACCACAATTACATCTCAAGCTAGAGGAGGGGTGGCCAATCTTTCTATTATATTGTGACAATTTAGCCAGATCTCTCTTTACACCTGACCTAACCTATATATGAAGTTATGAACCATCATCCTATATTATGATCATTAAATTCAAAAAACATTTAAATGAAATGATCGTGTGTTTCTTTCTTTGTTTTTTTTTTTTTTTTTGTACATCTGTAGCAGAGACTCTAAAAGATGCATGACTCCTACATTGTTAAGAAAACAAACGTTGATTAATCTCTTTCTACCCTTAAACATTTCAGTTGAGAGAATTGGGGAAACAGGATTAATTTCATTAAAGATTCTAATATTCACCTACCAATGCAGGGATTGCACCGGATTCCAAGCATGTCACTGAACAAGGTGATTTACAGGCCAACATGGAACAGGAGCAGAAATCAGTGAGGGAGGCCCTCATCTCTGCTTATGACAAAAACATTGCTACCAGGCTGAAGGCAGAACTCTGCAGTTTGGATGTAAATAACTATGGCTATGCAAGAGATGCATCTGCAAGTAAGTTTCCTTGACCCCAATGTGATCCCCACATAAACACAAACTGAGAATTACTACAAATTTTAAAGTTCAGTTGTAACTTTCTACAAATACTTTGAGTTTAGGAATCCTCTTTGCTTTTAGAACATGGAATATTATCTCTGATTCGCTTCCATCCCAGACCCTTTATTTTGCCACTTGATATGACATAATACATAGTCTATCAGTCTTGGATCATCACCTTGTGATGGCACTACCATCTTCTGCTGTTTTCTGCGTCTCAAGTTCTGTTTGCATCCTGATGCAGGGAATGCTGCCAAGTTGGAACAATGGGGCACAAGCTGGTGCCAGCAATTCAAGGTGCTGCTAAGGAGAGGACTGAAGGAACGGAGGTATGAATCTTTCAACAGATTACGTATCTTCCAGGTCATAAGTGTTGCTACTCTTGGTGGTCTTCTTTGGTGGCATACCCCAGCGTCCCATCTCCAGGACCGGGTAAGGATTTCTTCCACTTCTGAGATAAATTCAACTGAATTTGTGGTAGGTTTGCCATGGAAATTAACTGGGGTTTTCTTTCTTGGCTGCAGATTGCCTTGATCTTTTTCTTCTCTGTATTCTGGGGCTTCTTCCCACTGTACAATGCCGTCTTCACATTCCCCCAAGAACGATTGATGCTTATCAAAGAACGCTCTTCTGGAATGTACCGCCTCTCCTCCTACTTCCTCGCCAGAACCGTGGGAGACCTGCCGATGGAGCTCGCTCTGCCAACTGCCTTCACAATCATAATCTACTGGATGGGTGGACTCAAGCCTGACTTCACCACCTTCATTCTCTCCTGGCTAATCGTTCTCTATAATGTTCTTGTATCCCAGAGCCTTGGTCTTGCATTTGGTGCCATCCTCATGGACGTCAAACAGGCCACCACCTTGGCCTCTGTGACCACCCTAGTCTTCTTGATAGCCGGGGGCTACTACGTACAGCAGATCCCTCCCTTCATTGTCTGGTTGAAGTACTTGAGCTACAGCTACTACTGTTACAAGATGCTTCTTGGGGTTCAGTACAGTGAGAATGACTATTACGAGTGTTCAGAGGGAGTTTTCTGCCGAGTAGCTGAATTTCCTGCTGTTAAGGCTGTGGGTCTGAACCACTTGTGGGTGGATGTATCCATAATGGCCATGATGTTAGTTGGCTATCGACTTATTGCTTACATGGCATTACACAGGGTGCGTGTGAGGTAATCAACAGTCAGTGACCAATCCATCAGAGCTCAGAGGACCAATTTCGTCCAAGAAAAACAGACGGTTGAAGAGTTTTCTCTTTCTTCAACTGTGGAATAACGTTTGTTGCAAAATTAGTTTATCAGACATGTAGATCATCAACCCTATTGATCCTTGTCGGAGTTGCATGTACTCGCCTTCTGTAATAATTAAATATACTAACTCGAATTTTTATTTCACTTTACAACAGATTTCCCTTAATCTGAAAAAAATAAATAAATAAATAAATGTGCATTGCAAGAAGGGACTTGAGAGGAAACGTTGTTACATTACTGGAAAAAATAAAAGATTAACACAGGAAAGAAAAGAAATATAGACAACCCCTACAAGCATCTTACCCTGGGGCAATGAAATCATATATTGCTGTAAATTTTTTGTTTTTTTTTATTCTCCATCTTGGTAGAGACACAGGATTCTCTTTTTATTCTTCATCAACTCCCCAATCTGTTGTAGCATCTTCATCCTTCCATCCTCCAGCCCAAATCTCCACCTAGTTACTTGTTTCTCCCTTTGGTTAAGACTGTCCAGGCCCAGCACCTACTATTGGTCTTGTTTAATGAATTGCTTGATCAGCAAATCTTCATCCATTTCTGCATCAGGATCTGCAATCACTTCCTAAAGACAGAGGAAGCTCCGATTAGCAAACAAAAGAGAGTAGCTTATGTGAACGACAAACTAGTATATATACAAATAAGAGGCAAAAAAAGGACATACTGAAGGTTTTAGATCCTAGTTGGTTCCAATCTTCTAGTCAAGAGATCTTGAAGTTTTAGGGGTAAGAAGCACAGCCATGAGCCTCTTCATTGACAACCCCATTGCCTCGGTAACTAACTTCATCAGGATGTCTTCCATTCTCGCTGTAGTTGCTTCCTTACTTATTTGATAAGTTACCTCAACCATTTGAAACTGTTATAAGGATATTCTAGCATATGATTGGTGGGTACTTGTAGCAGAAAACAACAAAAATGAATCACAACTTAATATTTGTATGAACAGTTTAGTCAATTTAGTACTCAAATTAGTATTTTTATAATTGTTAAGATGAAAACATATATGGTTTTTATATTAGTGTTGGTTAGGTTTTTTTTCTCTTTCCCCCTTCAGCTGGATAAAGTCAGTCAAATAAATAAGAAATTGCAGTGCAAGATTAACAAACACTACATAAAACAGCCCGCCCACATTACTTATTAAAGACAAATCCATGGGCAAGAAGCTGAAAGCAAATTTCTAGATCTTTAGATGTGGCAATCTGATATGGCCAACACCTAGTCTAAACAATAAAGATTATTGAAATTGGAGAGGGGCCCATATCGAAGAAATAAACCCCAAAATCTGTGCTATTTTGTTAATCAACATTGGTGAGAAGTGACAAAGGAGGGCAATTTTTAGCTGTTTTACTCCTTTACTGACTTGCAATAACGTTATAAACTCAAATTAACAAGAAATTTTTACTGCCATAGGCCTCGAAATTAGATCCTAGTCAATGGTATACATTGGTAAATTTTCTTGAGCAAGTAGTTTTAGTTTCTTTTGTTTTTTTTGTTCTTTTCCTTATTTTATTGGGTTTTTTTTTATTTTTAATGCAAATTGTGGTTTGAAGAAGAATAACAAGATGCCACCTTTGTTTTTTACCAGTAACAAACTAACAATGATGTATAAATAAAAAATTAAAAAAAAAAAAAAGATGTATTGAAATCTTCAAATAGTGGCATTGTTCTCGGGAGTCGGGACCAATAGATAAAGGAGATTCCTTGAAGGGCAAAAATATTAGCTCTCTTACAAGGATTGAGGCTTGCAAAAAGCTTGGATTTAGCCAATTGGAAGTGGAAGGCACTTCTCAATTAGTAGTAAAGCTGGATGCAAATGAATAATTTGGAGTTTTGGAACCATAGACAAGCCATAAGGGAGGCGAGATATCTAGCAAGGGATATGGGAGGTCAACTTCAGATGGGTTAGAAGAACGGAAAATAGATTGGCAGATATTTTACTGAAACAAGGGACCAACAGGGAGCAATTATTTTGGGCATCATTGTAATTATAAAACCTGGCAGGGGCCCTAGTTCCCCTAAGCTTGAGATGCATGGCATATTGTAATCCTCAAAATATTTCATTAATTAATAAATTTCAATGCTCCAATCAAAAAAAAAAAGGAAAAACTTATTATAGCATAAAGGCCTCAAAATTTGTCTTTGGTAAACAGTATACATGGGTAAGTTTCTGTATGCTTGCATCTATGATAATGGGAGAAACTATTATATTAATGTTCAACTTTCAAGCCATGACATGACCAGGTTTGTTCCTGCGCCTATAGATCAAGAGAGACAAGGGTAGCCAATTGTGGCTTCTTGGAAGGTCTGGGAATAGGAGATAGTGCTCTAAAGGTCCTACAATTTGATGATGATACTCTTCCTTTTTTTCTCTCCCTTGGACAACATCATGGAAGCAATTATTATATCTGAGATGTACTCTCAGATGGCTTGAAACATCGTCAGGCCTCCATGTGAATCTGTTAAAAATTGAACTAGTAGCAGCAGGGGAGATTGTAACATTGATGAGTAGGACCTAGAAATGGTATGTAAAGTTTAACAATTATGAGCCAAGTACTCTAGCCTCCGAGTGCAAGATGTATATGTCAAAAAGAATATGGGAACCAATGATTGAAAGACCATAATGATGTTCAGTAAGAGGAACCAATCCCTCCAAATTGCTTCCTCGGAAATTCATTTGGTAGAAAATAATGCTGAGATGGCAGCTGTCACACACAGGGGAGATTGCAATTTAGAAGAGTTGATTTGATAAAATAAAGTCTGGTTTAGTTAATTCTGGTTGTAACCAGGAATTTTTCTCTTTTTCCATTCCATCTCACCTATTTCATTTTCTAAGCGGTCTATGTCTTTGCTGGGGTTCTGGGTAATGGAAGCCATAAATGCTCTAAACAAGAAAGATGATGCAGAGATGAATAGACTGATGCTGAGGATCTGCTTGTTGTGGAAGCTGTGGCTAGCTCATAACAGAATGGTGTTTGATTATGTATGTTAATATGTTTGACTCTTATGTAAACGATCAATGCTTTTCACCTTTTCTGGTTGGAATTTGGAATTTCAGAGTGCAATCTCATTGGGCAAGCTTCTGGGAGATAATAGGCAGCATTTGCACTCTGATCAGAAAGAGGATGTCTTCAAGTCGGCCTCTGTTAGAATTTGATTGATGGTGTCTATAAGAATGGCCTTACAGCAGTATCATATGTTTCAATGTACAGAGGTGGCCACTTCTTGTATGCAAAGGCAGGTTGTGTGCATGTGGCAGACTCAGAGTTGGCTTAAGGCTGAAGCTCAGGCCTTTCATCTGGCAGTGCATCCAAGGACACACGTGTTTTTGGGGATTGCTTATCCGTTATCTCTCTCTCTCTCTCATGCAAAACAAGGACAGCACACCTCCTTGGAACTTAGCTTCTCTTATCTCAGACCTCTGTAGAAGTATGGTAAAGTAACCAATTGTCTTTCTTTTGTATTTAAGCATCATCAATTTAATGTTTCTGCCCATTTGTTGGATGCACCAATGCTTGGATCAGATTCTATGGAGTAATGGTGCTAGTGTCCTCCTTGTATTGCTTCTGTTCTTCCTTAATGAATTATCTAGTTAGCCAAAAGAGATCAAACTTACACGGGTTATTGTTGCTGTGGTGCTGTTGATGTTAGTGGATTATGAAATAGACCGAGAAGATGTCGATACACCATTTTATCTTATATTGAAGGGAAGTACAGATATGGGTAAGAGAAAAGAAAAGGCCAAGGTGTGGGAACGAGTGAACGACCGAATAGAAAGGAGGGAGGCAGGTGACGAGATCTGCTCCTCACAAATGGGCGCCTCACAGGTACATCCACCGGGAATATCTCCCGTGAATAATAACAAATAAGTATCGGAGATAATAAATAAGTATCTGAGATGTTCCCAATGTATGATAGGATGTGTGCGAGGCGCCAGGTGTGAGGAGCAGATTCAAAGAAAGCTCAAGATTCGACCAAGAATTAAAATATCATCAGTATTGGTATCGGATAATTTGGAAACGAATATGGATATATTTTGAAAACGCATGGATACGGACGAAAAATATGAATACACTAGGGAAACATATAAAAATTTCATAATACATTAATAGTATTAAATTTAAGGTCAAATAACCATAAACAATGTATAAATACATAGAAAATGTATGTTTTAATGATGCATATGAAAAAATATATTACAATTAATATAATATGATGGATAGATATCGTACAATTTTAATGATAATGTATCAATCAAGAGTTCAAAATGCAAAACATATTTTTCTACTATATTTTAATTATTATATCATTTATTTTTTATTTTACTATTTTTACTTCTTTACATTAACAAAAAGGTCAATCGAATATTAAATTCTCTATGTAAATTAAAATATCCATTAATAATTTATAAAATGTATAATCTCAACTTAAAATATATCAAATCTAATAAAATTTTTAAGATAAATATCATATGTAAATTCATAATTTTTAACTTTTAAAATGATTATTCCATTATTATATTTTTATTCCTATAATTTTCTAATTAAAAATCTTTTTTTGGTATAAATGTAGATTAGTAGATTAGTAGATTTGATAGATTCAATTTAAGATTATATTCTTGAATATTTTGTAAACAATGCTTTTATTTTCTAAATAATAAATATGATTTTATGTAATATAAATCTTATATATATATCATGAGCAAATTTATAAATTTTAAGTACTAAAATAATTATTCCCTTATTAATATTATATTTTTATAATTTTTTTGAGATTCAAATAATATTTTTATATAAATGTGGATTTTATATATTATTTATTTTTATTATTTTATAAAATTATGATTTTAAATCATACTTTTTTTATTTTTAGTTAAAGCTAACCGTAATATGTATTAACTATTTGAATTGCATTTAAGTAATAATGTAATAAAATTTTTATTCATTTAGCTATAGACACAATATATGACTGGTGTAGTGGTTTGTAGGCGTGGATGTTAGACTCTCTTTTACTTTTTGGCGCGGGTTTGAATCCTTGCAATTGTTTTTTCCGGTAGAAGAACACGCACATGCGCGGCGCGGGTTTGAATCCTTGCAATTGTTTTTTCCGTAGAAGAACACGCGCATGCGCG